CTCTCTCCTACAAACGTCGAGTTGCGGCAACAAAAATCGCCGTGTGTAAATGAGCACTTAAGGGCCTCCATTTCACCGGATATTTTATTTTTTATTTATTTATTTATTATAGTCATTTGACCTATATACATTCACGTATATACATTTGAATTATGTATTGCAATATATAATAAAAGTAAAGTTAAAATTAATGCTTAAAATACGTTAACCTGTTACACTTTGCCTTCTAAGCTATATAATAGTTTATGTATATTTAACTAAGATAGCATATTCTCGATGCTGTTGGAATGGACGTGATTCCAAGCAGTACCGTAAATATCACGTACGATATGCGGTCTAAGAGTGTAATTTCCAGAGCCGCCACAACTGGGCGGTTGGAAGGATCAGTTTCCAAGCCGCCTCTTATAAACTTCTCTACCGGCAGGCGATCTGAATGGACGAGATCCAGAGTCGCGCTATTTGTTCGGACGGAAAGGACTAGTTTCCATGCCGACCTTCTTATTTCATACATTATGGGTGATCTGAATGGACTAGATCCAGAGTCATTCAGCTAGTACGGATGGGAAGGACTAGTTTCCATGCCGGGCCTTTCTATCTAATAGCCAATGTTCTACAGTGATCAAGTAGCAGCCTTTTGAAGGTACCAACGTTTTCAAAATTTTTGATTTGAGTTGGAAGTTCATCGTAACATTTTAATCCCTTATAAAAGACTAGCAGACCCGGCGAACTTCGTCCCGCCCAACATTTTTATATATTTTATTGAAACTTTTTGGTCCAACATTTTCACTAACAATTCACGTTTACGATTTCCATTGGCACATACGTCTGCTAAGATTACGGTTTGGTGGTCATTTGCCGCTTTAAATAACCTAAGGAAAGTGTTATATCCGTGAAGAAGTTCTTGAAATTCTCCAGTTGTGCGGCATTTCATAGCACGGTTATTCGCAAAGCGAAATAAATTTTTTCCTCTTCGTTAAAATCTGTACAACCATTTAGGAGGATTTCACTCACAAACACACCTACAGAAGAATTAAAAAATACATTCAAAGATAGCCAAAGGTCGGTACGGTTGCAGGCCTCACACCCCTTTTTCAAATAGCTAAATTGTCTCGATGAGTATGGGCTTGATTTCAACTACATACATATCTCCATACGAAGTTCCAGTACTGTACCATGAATACTTTCAGAGATATGCAGTATAAAAATTCGATTTATATGGGAGGTGCCACGCCCCCCTTTCCAACAGCTGCCCTCTTTCTTCATGAGTATGCGATTGATTTCGTATATCTCCATACGAAGTTCCAGAACTCTACCATGAACACTTCCAAAGAAAGGCAGTATGAAAAATTCGGTTTGTATGGAAGATGCCACGGCCCCTTTTCCAATAGTTCCAGTTTTTCCTCAACAGTTGATTGCGTATATCTCCGTACCAAGTTCCAGAACTATACCATGAACACTTCCAGAGATATGCAATATGAAAAATTTGGTTTTTATGGAAGATGCTACGCCCCCTTTTCCAATAGTTCGAATTTTTCTCCAAGAGTATGCGATTTATTTCGTTCATCTCCATACAAAGCTCCAGAACTCTACCAAAAAATTTCCAGAGATATGCGGTATGAAAAATTCGGTTTGTACGGGAGATGCCACACCCCTTTTTACAATAGCTTAAATTTTTCTCCAAGGGTATGCGATTGATTTCGTATATCTCCATACCAAGTTCCAGAACTTTACCATGCACACTTTCAGAGATATGTAGCATGAGAAATTCGGTTTGTATGGGAAGTGCCACGCCCCCTTTATATAGATTTTTTTTTAGCCTAAAACCATCTTTGGGACACGTGCGGCAGGTGGCAGTTTAAAAAAAATCGGTTCAACCGCTCTCGAGCCTTGCGAAAACTAAAGAAACGGCTTTCAAAATATATATTAGTTGAGATATATTATATATTATATTTATATTTTGACAGTATCCGTTGTTTCTGATTGGCGCAAAAAAATCTTGCCTAGTGACGAATTCGCCCCTTGATATGGTCGTTGCTCAAAGCTATTTATATTCGAAATTGCATGAAAATTGGAAAACAGGAATCTATAAGCTTATCCAGGCAAAAAGCTACCTACGTAAATACGATTTATTCGAATAGATCGGCTCCTGGTCCACTTCTCGGAAAACATGGATCATATATGCTAATATATGCTAAAAAAACTACTTACATACAAAATTTTAAGCAAATCGGACCATAATAAGATTGTTTCGAATAGATCGGTCTCTGCTCCACTTCTCGGAAAAAATCGATCATATATGCTAATATATGCTAAAAAGCTACTTACGTACCAAATTTTAAGCAAATCGGACCATAATAAGATGTTTTCGAATAGACCGGTCCCTGGTCCACCTACACGAGAAAAAAGTAATTTTTTTTATCCTAAAACATGGTGGTTACCGAAAGCTATTTATATACAAAATTTCATGAAAATCGGTCCAGCCGTTCGCGAGATTACCTGTTACAAAAAAAGGGACTTCTCTTAATATAATTAGTATAGAAGTATAGATAGATATAGATATTATTCTTATCTATTTCCGTTTTATACAGCGGCAGTCTGAAGCTATTATTTCCCCTGAGTAAATACGAATGGGTTTCACTATTATATCGTAGGATATCACTCAGATAATCTACCTTGTTTTATGTTAAACACGAATTTAATAGCGTGATAGGAAATTTGCTGTTTCACGCTCAGCCAGTCTAATTCTGCGATCATTTCCTGTATGGGTGTATCGTACCGCTTGTTCAAGATAAATCGCATAGTCCTATTTTGCATTTTTT